TATCATTAAAACATGGAGTATTTAGACCAATAAGTGTATTCATTGATTGTTTACAAAGTCTCCTGCCAGTATCAGCAGTATATCAAGAGTCGATCGTTGGATTGTGCATGATGCGGTACATTTAAAGGTTAAAGTGAGTGAGTGAGTGAGTGCACTATGATGGCTTCCGACCACGGACATGAACCGAACGGAATTATATACCATCACAGCTGGAAAAACTCTAAAATAGCAGAGTTAAATATTACATATAATAAGAGTGTCTATAGACCGCAGGCACCAAGAGTTATTCTGGTTATCTGCTTTAAAGTCTGAACATTTGAAACATAATATTATTCACGATTGTTTCTGCTTACGCAGTGCCTTGAGATTTTCTCTATTTTACCAAGTGCTACTCTGTTTTTGAGTGTGTTAGGCGCCCACATTGGCTAGGTACAGTCCGCCGGTTTCTTCAAGTGACAGGTTCTCTTGTATGTGTACAATGAAAGTAATAATGGTCCGTGTCGCCTTCCTCTCCGCATTCGCAGAAAGGAGTATCCCTAAGCCTGAATCTGTTGAGGTATACTGAGAATGTTCCATGACCCGTCAAGAACTGTTTTATGCTAGCACAGTGTGTCCTTATTTCCATGTTAACTTTTCGCAGTAAGCGATATGTCCTTCGTTCTACATCTTCCTCTGTTCATATACTTTGTCAATTTTGTAGCAGACTTGTCGAAATTGTTCGCTTAATATGAGAACAAGGAAGTTTAGTTTGTATTTCTAGTATATCTGTGCAGTTGGCTGCCTACTTGGCCAGTAGGTCAGCGACTTCATTGCCTTGAATCCCTGTATGAGCGGGAACTCATTTTAAAGTCGGTCTTTGTGAGATAGGCATTGCCAGAAGCTGTTTCTGAATTCGGTATACCAAACGCCATCGGCTGTTTTGACCTGTGATAGCCGCCTGACTTGATGCCGAATCGCGGAATATGGAGAATTTGTGCTGTTGACATGCGTTCGCATACCTAATTGCAGCACTGATAGCTAGAAGCTCTGCTTGGTATACCGAGTTATTCAAGCCTAGTTTCCTCTTCCACTCAAATGTTACAATACCTTTTTACAGTCTGCAGAAGGCGCTGCCTGTGCTGTTCTCCGTTTTGGAGCCATCTGTGAAAAGGTTATTACTGTTGCTTTGAATTGGTTGGTCGTTTACGCTGATACCGTCGGAGAGATTAAAAGCAGCTGGAAAGTTATTGCAGATGTTTTGCTCCTCGTACTCTAAGTGGTGATAACTATGAGTCCAGAGTGTTGACGTTTGATCCAGCCTGGTAACACTTACGACAGCTGCTTACCTTTCAACTATCAAATCTATGGAAGGAATTTCTGCCAGTTGTTGTAGGGCTAGTGTTGACGCGGTACGGTAAGCCCTGCATACTTGAAGTAGTTGCTCTCTCTGAATAGAGAGCAGGGATCTTCTCATGTGAGAGGTAAGTTCGCCACCCCAGATTGCTGCTCCGTAAGTTATTACTCTTTCTGTAATGGTTCTATGCCAAATTTTTAGTAGCTTAGATGAGATACCCCATTTATGTGAAGTCATGCTTCTCATGTTGTTGCTTAAATGCTATTTCGAGTCTTAAGATTCCTGAGATGTGGCATCCAGGAAAGTCTTTTGTCGAGTATTAACTCATGATATTTCAATTGGGGAAAACATTTTACCGGAATCCCATGGAGTTTAACACTTGAGTTGCGTCTAAGCTGCCTGCTGCATCCTATGAGTAAAGCTTTACTTTTCCGTGCTGAAATCTGAAGCTTATGATCTCTAACCCATTGAGAGAATAGATCAAGATAGTACTGAGATCTCATTTCGAGAAGGCTCCTTCCTGCCACAACTAGCATAAAAATGTTCGCATAGGCTACAATTCGACTACGCTATCGAACTGATGAAATGCCGAGTTTGCCACTATATTCCGCAGGGTTGGTCCAAGGCATGACCGCTGTGGGCACTTGAAGGTACTAGCGAAGCATCTAGTAATAATGGCTATGGAGCAGGCCATATTGTGCAGCAACCAAAGTCTTATATGGCATGCTCAGTTGAGTTGCCTATTCAGAATCCATATTGGTTGGGGTCCAGGGCGTTGGTCTTTGCAGAAAGAAGTCCAGTCTGGAAAGAATTACTTTTTCCAATACCTTACCGAGCGCTGGCAGTAGAGAGACTGGCCTATAAGATGAAGGTTCTGCCGGAGTTTTGCCAGATTTTACAAATAACGCCACTTCTGACAACTTCATATTTTTAGCAAAGTGCTGATGTTTCCAGCAAGCTGAAATGACCGCGCGAAGAATAGTTTTGGGAATTCCAACTGTATCTCTCTAATGATGATATTATCAATACCATCTGGGCTTGGAGCGTTTTTGGGTGCCAGAGTACGTATGATGTTATCCGCTTCCATTTGCGTAGGAGGGAGTTTGTCTCTTCTGGTAACTTGGCGAAATTAAATAACTGTAGGTTTTTCTCGCTTCCTCTTGCTCCTCTAAGTGATCCTCTTCATCATCATCAGGGAAAACTGCATTTATGATCGCACTCATCACTTCGATGTTGGATGAGGCAGTGTTATTCACCATAGGCGTAAGGGTCGTAGGACAAAACACCTTGTCACATGTTATCTTTTGGGCAGGTCCAAAGGCTTCGGTGACATTACTACAGTTGGTTCTCCATGAGATTTGTAGAGACATTAGGTATTTTTGGAAGCAGGTAAGATGAAAAATTACTTCTTCGCCGAGAATTGAACCACGGACCTCTGGAATACCGGCCCAGCGTGCAGAACCACTACAGCACGAAAGGAAGATGGGAGAAATACCTCATATACTCCCCCTTTTAAAGGGCGACTGGGGATTTTAGGGGACCCAATCGCCAAATCATGGGTGTGGAAAATTCTCATCCAACACCCTTTCATTGGGCGCCACTATTAGGAATTGCAAGCCGGGGAGATGAAAATTAGCATGCCTTCGCCGGGAATCGATTTTGGAACACGTAGATACACCACGAAGGCACGCTAGGAAGGCGGGAGAGATACCGTATAGATTAAGTTGGCCTCTTTAATTTTTCTTTTATATAAAGCTATGACTCTGTTATATGTTATCATTTTGAGTTGCCGTATGCATGGGTCTACCGTGGATTGTGCTTTTCTACGAAGTGACCGCACTGTGCTTATCTCTGTGTTAAGCTCTGGGGACCACCAGGATATGGAGTGCCTTGCCTTTAGAGATTTCAAACGATAAGCTTTGTGAGCGGCCTGCACTATTTTTGTAACTAGTAAGTCGTAGTGATTATCTAAAAAGTTTCTGCCCTGGCAGTTGTTGAAATCTTTGTAAGGTTTCTCTACATGCGTTCGAATGTGTTCCCGTAAAACGGAATATCCTCCAAATGCCGTCTTGAATCTTTTTCTTTATAGTCTATAGGAGTATCCAATCTGTAAGTAATAGTTTTGTGATCACTGAGTGAAGGCAGGTCACTCACTGTCCAGTCTTGTATATATAGAGTTGTATTGGGAGCTGATAGTGTCAGATCTGGTCACTCTCGAACTCTAGATGTTTCAAAGTTAGGCGTGAGTCCTGAGCGTTGATGACAATGAAATGCTGACTGTCCAAAAATTCTAGTACCGTAATTCCCCTTCGATTCTCCGAGTCAGCACCCCATAGTTGACTGGTGGAGTTAAAGTCTCCTGCTATGATACAGTGTGATGCCCCAGTTAGAAGGTTAGAATTAAGTTCTTCTAATAGGGAGGTAATATCTTCACTCGGGGGTAGATACACAGCAATAATATCAATGCTGCAATTAGTAGTTGTCTAGTCTGATGGAGACTGTATGCTGTGTGACTTAGGAGAGGGGAGAGAGGGTTACTGTAAATAATCGCAACTAGCTGATTCTTTGAGAGAAACGATCGCCTATGTTTTGGAACACGGGGAATCGCTCCGTTGTAAACGTAGGACTCATGAAAGATTTCGACATTAGCAGCAGTATGTGCCATTACTTACAGCGTGTTTATGGTTGCTGCATAGCACTTATGCAAATTACACTTTAAAAATCGAAGACCTGCTATATCTTTACTTAGTGTCATCTTGGATTAGTTCTGAGCAGCGGTCGTTCTCAGGCTCTTGAAATGGTCTCCATACACTGGCCAGGAGCTTGAAGTAGCTGGATGATCTGTGTTGAAATAGGTCCCCTTTTCAGAATTACTATTGCAGCAATTGGTGCAACTCACGTTTTCTGAGCTACACTCCTGCGTCAAGATAAACTATATTCACAGCATGTGAGCATGACACCGAGGTTTCTGTATCATTAGTATCAGTTTCCTGACAACTAGCTAGCTGATAATAAAGCAAAAATCCTGAATACCTGGTTCCAACAGCTTATGAATAGTAGCAGATATGTATCTAGAGGTGCATTGTTCTTTAATAAAGCGCGGTTACTGCTTCCTTCCTTCGTCGGATTTTTATGGTTGAAGAAAATTGGTTCCTTTAAGACAAAAGGACATGAAAGGCTTAATGAACCACTGAATCAAATCTCCAAACCTTATCTCATTTCATGTTGGGCTGCCAAGACTGTAATGCATTATGAGATTTTGTCACATGGCCAAAAAATTAATTGTTATAAGCTGAACAAATGTCAGCGTGAAAGTATATCTGATGATAATTGCAGCAATTATCAAGAAATAAAATCTTGAATTAATAATAATAACATCAAAATAACTTGACTACTTAATAGCTAAACGCAGTGTCCCAAGGTCTTATTCCAGATCTGTATTTCTTACCTGTCTTTTACAATCGTGTTTTTATTAAAATTGTTTTAAGAAGAAAATGCAGGAATGAAATATTTTTTTTTTTGGTATTCGTTTCCAAAATTTCTGTGATACTGATGAAATATGGAGAATAGGGGTAAAAACCTTCACTGAGAAAAATAAACGAAAGAATATAATTTGCAGGTGAAAATATGTTATTTAAAAATTATGATCAAAAAATGAAATGAAACGTTTGCCTTTTAAATATAGCTGTTTATTCCTGGAGAATAGAGAAGAGTAATTAGACGACAGTTGGAAACACAAAATGATAGAGGAGAATTAAAGTTATCTTTTGCACATAAACTGCAGTATTTTGTCATGTGTAGATATAAAGATTGAATGAGAGCTTTATTCTAAAACAAAATTTTATTTGAATATATATATATATATATGAAGAGGAATGGGTACAACGAAAGCCATAAAAGCATCTGGGATAAAAGTCTGAAGATTTGCCCGGCTAAATATGTGGCACAGAACAGGAATTCGAATGGGAACAAACAGCTTCAGGCGTCGTCATAGCAGCATGATTTTCAGATATTACACGATGCACATTCGTATTCTTGTCCAATTTCTGCTTCCTTTTCAATAGAGAATAAATAGTTCATGTTTTGTTGAAGGTTATTTATGAGCATGCAGTTACACTTTTATTATCGAAATCACTGGTGGTAGGATGGAAGGCGACATTGTAATTGATTGTGTGACATAGCGGGATGCTAAATGATTTGTTTAACTCTGTTTAATTTAAAATTCATTCAAAAGCTGCTTTTAGAAATATTGCTAGATAAGAACATTACTTTGCTATTTCTTTAATTAATATTTGTGTTAGTTTAAATGGATTTTTAATGCGATGGTATGGAAAATTACGATATGAAAAAGAAGTTTTGACTTATAAATGAATTTTTACGTTCTTTCTTAAAAAAATAGAAACCACTTTGCTTTTACTTTAAGTAATATAGTTTCGTTTACCTTTTATCAGAAATCTGCTGATAGCAGATGTATGACGAATATAAATTATTCTGACATTTTATGATTAATGTAAAATTTTAACTTTTTAGACGTTTTTGATAGCTTTTGGCTTCATTAGGCAAAAGATAATAAAATAATAATAATAACTCTCTCAAAATGTTTCAATAAAATTTTAATGGTAAATTTTGATATGGTCGCTATTAGAATGGAGTTTGCTAATGGATAATTTACATATCTAGTATTCCAAATACGACGCATTATTTTATATAAAAGTGTGGGAAAGGAATTCTGAGAAAGTTACTTTTAAAATGCATTATTTCTCCCAATTATACAGCACATCTTGGGATTTCAGGGTTTAATGAAATACTATAAATGAATTTATCCACAGAACTAAAAATAAAATAATAAAAATCTATACATTTAACGGCAAAAATGATTAATGCAATAGGCTGAAGCTGATTGGCTATTATTGCTAACTTTAGAAAAGCTTGAAAGAGATTCTCAACACAAAGATCTAGTCATCAAAATTGGGATTAATTTCAAAATCTCTTAAAAGTTCTCTAACTCATAAATTAAAACTATCAGATATATCAGATTATATATATGGTAGTAACATAAACACACACACACACACACACACATATATATATATATATATATGTTTATGTTAGTACCATTCTATGAATATGAAATCTAATTTAGATATAAATGTAAAGGAGCATTTTGATTAAAAATTAAAATTTTTTATTTAGGTATAATGGAAGGAATATTTTTTAAAATTTACGTGCCCTCCATCCTATTTGTCTCACCAGTTTCTGAAGATCTTTGGTCCAGAAATGTCTAATGTTCAATAAAATGCCTGACTTTCACACAGTAACGTAATTTCTAAGTGTCTATCCAAAAGCTCATTTACGTTTTTATGTATTTATTTACTTTGATTAGTGACGTAGCATATATTTCAAGCATTTAGAACTAATTAAAATGTTAGTTTATTCAGAAGTAAAAAATTATTAAAAAATTCTTAATACAAAGAAACAGTTAACTAAGTTTATTGACTTGTAACCATGTGAAATCAGCATACTTTAAAAATAAAACCAGAGAAGCTAAATCGCTAAGAAGCTTCTACTAGCTTTGTACTAGTATGCAGTATATAGGCTTCAGCATATATTGATATGTAAACGTAATAATCTGCTTTTAACTTCAACAAGAGTTATTTCAACGTTTCAAAAATATTTTCATCAGATTAATTTTGCCCTAAATGTACTAACTGCAAATTTGTAATGTCTCTGAAATCACATATGCATATTAATAATGCTTTACATAATTTAACGAAATTTAAATGTATGGAGTTTATTAAAGTTTCTGAAGAAAAGTCCAAGTAATTTCTAGTTCATTGATTATGATATTTTGTTATCATGTTATAGAAGAAGTTGAGAAAGAGAGCATAGAAAAACTCACTTTTATGCGTTGACATCAAGCTAACAAAAATTTTCTTTGGATTTTTAATATACAACCATTCTATTTACATCGAAGTTCTTCATTCCAGATCTGGAATTTGATAACTTATTTTTGACAGTAAACTTGTACTAATGCTCAAGCTCAGTAAATTGTAACATAAATTAATGTCATTGACCTTACATAACAATTCAAGGCGCTATGGCAGGACGATAGCAGTCAGAAAATTAATAAGATTCTCTTTCTTTACAGATATAACTCTTCACTTCAGCAACTTAAATTAACCACCACATAGATTCTTGTGAAAGGAATTCTTTTTTAAATTAGCAACAGCATTTTTCTGATTTAATACTTCTAAATTAAAAGACATATTAAAATGTGATCCATCCTGTCGTACTTACTGTATTCATACTCTAATTTTGTACGTAATAAAAAATTAAAATTTTACAGAAATAAAGAATAATCCAAATTCAAGATATTTATCAGTTAAAGTTTTTTTTGATTTTGAAAAAAAAAAAAAAAAAAAAAATCATAATTAGAGCGAAGGTCAGGCATTCTTTACAGTGGACATTATTTCAATGACAGTCAAAGTCTGCACTGATCTAAAGTTAGCTCCGTTTCATTACCGGAGAGAGCGCTCATATCTCTGTTGAGATTCATTCTGCCATTCTTCTTGCGAAATGAACGTCTCAAGCTTTGCTGTGATCGTGTTTCTTGGGTGTAATCGTAAGTCACACCGCCAATGATGCCTCCCAATACAGGAGCGACCCAGTACACCTGAAATAAAATGAAAAAAAAGTAAATAATAATAATAAAAAACTGAAAATTTTCAGATTTTATATTACGCCAAAATGGGCTTTTCTTTCAATTACACACACATACACCTTTCGAGAGCATTTGGGCTAAAGTCACTTTGGGCTAAAAATATTAAAAAGCAGTATATTTTTAGAATTTCAGACAGACAGAATCGCGCGCGCTGGAGATAAAAATATTTTATTCCTCATAATGTAGCCGCCGTTCGCTTTAAAATCACCGAGTTTTTAATCAAAAATTCGTTCAAGTTTTAGAAAATACGAAACAGGTAATTAAGCAAATCTGAAATTCAAAACTCGGGCTTCCAGGTTCTCCTTGTTCGGGTGGAGGACAACGCCATTCAAAATTTGATGGCTCTAGGTATTGTTGTTTTTCATAGTAAGAGAAACATACATACATTCATGCAGATTCCTTATTATTTAATTTCTCTAAATGTAACACATGCTGTTTCGAGACTAATAGACCTTCTGGGCTAATGCCTCTTTGGGCTAAAAGTCTAGGAATTGAAATAGACATTTAAATTTACACTTTTTAAGGCATCATGAAACCATAGATAAGAGGATATTTTTGATGTAGCTGAAAGTAAAAGGCAAGATATCTTCAAAGAATCATAAACAGTCATATTCTGCCTACTGTTTCAAAGAAAGACGAGTTCATGTTTAGTATATATATATATATATATAATATATATATTTGTTAAGAATAGAATTAAAAGGACATTGAAATTATTAATTTTAAAATGCAAATACTTTGTGAATAGTTTTTAAAATTTACTAAATGTGAACATTTTATATGTATAATAATTTTAATAATGATAAAAAAACAACCATTAAAAACCGTAATATATTCTGCGAGTTAAAACAGATTTGGATGAAGATTTGATAATACTTCTGAAAATCTTACTTTGTTGGGTAAGCGACCATGTTATATTAATACTTCAGAATTTTGTTTTCGTAGAATACTGGAATTTTAGGTACTCTTCTGTTGTCGGGACTGGATTCAGAAATGTATGTAGTATGTACGCTCGTGTGTATGCATGTACATGCGTATATGTTCGCATGTATGCATACACATTCATATTTACGTACATATATACATGCATACGAACATACATTTCTGAATCCGGTTCCGATAACAGAAGAGTGCCCAATTTTGTTTTCATCGAATGAAATTTGTTTTCTTCGAAGAAATCTAAAACAATTATCACTCTTTTTACTTTAGTAAGCATTTGAATGCACAATGCAGAATCAAACTGTTGTCCAGCTTTCATATAATGATTAATCGTTAAATGTAAAATCTACTTTTTTGAGATAGTCAATGAAAAGATTTGTAAGTAAAATGCCTTCAGTTTATAAGGATTAAAATATCGAGAGCTTGAAGGCAGGTTTGTTTTTCAGCAGAGAAATTTTTATAGCATTCACCATGAAGGGATCGAGATCTTGACAAGAAATTACACGATAAGCCTTAGATCTGAGTCCAGATCAAAGAGTTCCATGCATGTCTATTTAACTGTAGATATTCAAACGTTTATTAAACTGGAAGCATGCTTACTCACTTGAAACTACTTACAGGAATAGTATCAGAATAAATTTTAGTGTTTTAAACTGTTTGAGTGATATTCTTAACTGATTAAATTAATATTTTACGTTGTTGAGATGAAATGTTAAATTTATTATTAAAGTTTAAAATCTTTGTATTAGAAATATTGATCCATTTAGATAAGGTACCGGATGATAAAAAAGGTCAGTATAAATTTGAAATCTTAATAAATCACAGAATAATGTAGATAGAGAGGTAAAAATTGACACACATACTTAGAATAACATGGGGTTTTATTAGAAAAGCAATAATCTGATCAGAAAAAGCAATAATTAGCGAGCAAATTAAGACAATGCAAAGAGATGTTCTTTACAGGAAATGCTCAATATATTCACCATCATTCCTCAACAATAGCTGTAGTCGAGGAAAATGTTGTTAACAGCACTGTAAAGCATGTCCGGTTATGTGAGGCATTGGCTAGATGTGTCTTTCAGCATCCCTAGAGATGTCGGTCGATCACGATACACTTGCAACTTAGGGTAACCCTAAAGCCAATCGCCCAGACTGAGGTCTGGGACCTGGAGGCCAACATGACGAAAGGGCGGCAGAGCACACGATCATCACAAACAACGCGTGCAAGAGATTTTTCACGTGTCTAGCAATATGGGGTGGAGCGCCATCCTGCATAAAAATCGTACGTTCCAGCAGGTGTTTATCAGCCCGGCTGGGGACGATGCGATTCTGTAAATATCGGCGTACCTCTCACCTGACGGTAGCAGTACAAAACTAAATCACGCATTCCTCGAAGAAAAAAGGCCCGATAACAGTAGATGTGATTCCAATCCATACCGTGACTTTCTCGTCGTGCAATGGAGTTTCCACGACAGTTAGGATTTTCGGTAGCTCAAATCTGCAGTTGTGGGTTGACAGACCTTCGGAGCGTGAAATGAGCTCATCGGTCCACAACACGTTACTCAACCAATTGTCATCTTCCACCATCTTTTGAAACGCCCACACCGCAAATGCCATCCGCTTCACTAAATCGCCAGGTAACAGTTCATGATGTCGAGGGATTTTGTAAGGATAGCATCGGAGGGTACGCCTAAGTGCCAACCAAACAGTAGTGTATGGAATGCCGGTGCGACGTGCGACTGCACGAGCACTGACTTCCCCGTGCATAAACGAACCCGCTACAGTCTCCATTGTCTCAGCAGCATTACGCCTTGTGCTCGGTCGCCCACTACGGGGTCTATCTTGTAAACAACCCGTGGCCTCGAACTTCGAAATCATTCTCGCCACACCTGCATTTGTCAACGGACCTTTACCCGTTCGAATCCCCTTCATGACGAAAGGATCGTAACGCTGAATAGCACATTCCCCATTCTGATATACGCTTCACTAAAAAACGCTTTTCAGATAATGTCAACATGCTGCGACTGCTGGTGCATCTGATTCTCTCTCTCATTACAGCTCCTTTATACGATTTTCATGCGCAGTCATGACTTTGCTGTCCCGCGCACTGTCGGACATTTTTTGAACTTTTTTTTGGTTCTAATAAAACCCCATGTCATTCTAAGTATGTGTATCAATTTTTACCTCTCTATCTACATTAATCCGTGATTTATTAAGTTTTCAAATTTATACTGACTTTTTGATCACCCGGTATATTGAAACTGTATCAGATAATTATTAATATCAGATGAAGCTCAGAAGAAAAAGAAAAATATTTTCAACAAATTAAAAAGGCATTTACGAAAAAACTTTATAATCAACGAAAATTCATGTTAAAACTAGTATGAAAAATTAATTTTTATTAGAAATTCATTCATTGGTAAATTAGTTGAACATAATACAAAATAACATTGTTTAAAATCTGTATACAGAATTGTTACAAATGATTCATTGGGTTTTGAACTCCTATAATTTGTAAGTTATGGATTGCTTATGTTCTTGATATTCCGCTATCACAAAAAGAAATATTTTATGTGCTTAGGTTCTTGAGTGTAAATGCTTTTGTGATACATTTAATAAGAAGTCTGAATTATATTTTCAAAATGGCGAGTTTACCGCGGAAGCATTTTGTATTTTAACAATACGCAAAGTTTTTATCAATTCTTACTATACAATGTATGTTTCGAGGGCAGTAAGATGCAAATCCACTAAGTCTCAGCGCATTCTATGATGGTATTGACAGGTCATAGAGAATGGTTGTCTGTGTAAACAAACATGAGCTGCGGATGATCAAGCTTTCAAATGAAATAGCGTCAGAAATTTAGAGATATTTCATGCGTAGACCACAAAAATTAATGAATCGCACGAGCTAAGAATTTGGTATTACGCAGCTGCGTAAGGTTTTGTGATGGCGATATCAACTAAAACAATATTGTTTGTAGATGTTTAAACGTTTAAAACCAGATCATTACATCAAACATCACATATCATGAGATCTGTATTTGCAGGCAAGAAGCATTGTGAGACGACAATCAAAGCGACGTTTTACTTCTAACAAATGGTTAACTGGTGCAATTTCTGAGAAACAGGTATGGAAAATTGTCATACCGTCGTCGAACACAAGTAAGATTCATAAAACACAAACGTCTTTTATATCATTTCAGTAAAGACATAGGATCCTTTGTTTCCTTCGAGACAACTGTGACGGATATCTATTTTGATATATCGCAGTTATTCTAAAATGAAAATTCCCGTATGTTTATACGTTTGTAGACATTTGGCTTTCTAAACAAACTTAAGCAAAATAAACAAAAAATATCTCAATGTTAAAAGTTAGCACAAATAAAGAAAGAAGAACTGCAGTTCCGCTAGAACTAGTTCAGTATTACCAAAGTATTGTTGCTAAATACAGTAGAAGCTGTAGCGTTTTACGTGCAACTCGAAATATTAGGTCAAATGAAGAACAATGAAAGACTATTTAAGATTTTCCCAAAGTATTTATTTGGCATTTGTAGAAAACAGTAATTGCCAATTTTATTTCTTTGTTATGAAAGATATGTCCTACTGAGCCCCTGATTGCTTGATTACAAGAAATTAATATCGTTTTTGTACTGAAAACTGAAAATATTCTTTTTGGGAAAGTGTAATAATGTGACTTTCTTTCTAAAATGTTTTCACACAAGCAATTTTGAGCTTAGGAGATTTTTTACTGAAAATAAATATCCCTCAGAGTAAAAGCTGTTGGACACCCATTTTTTATGTTATGTTAATTTTAGTTAGTTACTTAATCAAAATCATTCAAAAAGTAAGTGAACAACCCTGTAAATAACGAATTAAATTAATAGGCATATTTAAAATTATTCCTTTAGTAATAAATGAAAAGACTGACAAAGAAAATGAAAGAACTGAATGTACTTACCCAATGCAGTCTCCACGTATTCGTGACGATAGCTGGTCCAAATGATCTTGCTGGATTGAAGCTCGCTCCTGTGTACGGAAACTGCAATATGGAAAAAAAAATATTTCTCGCAATTTATAAGAAATGCATGTTCTATACATGCTGGTTTTATGATCAAGTAAAACAAATTATCAATTATAATATGTAGCATAATATATAGTTTGAAAGTATCAGCCAAAAGAAAATATAGGAAATTCCTGCATCTTAATTCTGCTATTTTTGAATCTCGTCTCTCATACACTGATAAGAGAAGTAATGTTTCAGCCCAAAAGTTTGATAGTGATATTTCAGTGAATAAGTACGAATTAGGGTTCCCAAAACAATTTTTTACTATTTTTACAATGATGTTTGTGTGTCTGTCTGTCTTGTATCTGTATGTGCATGACGAAGTTTTCGTTCACGATAATCTTTAGGTCAAATTTCCAAAAATTTATGCTTTCTGTATTTGAGGTTTCTGCATTGATGTAAAGATTTATGAGATTCATTGTAAAACTAGACGGTAGGAAATCGTATACTTACACGTTCAAGGTACGTACAAGCATACTGAAGCTAAGGGAAGGTGATAAGAAGACTGAAAACGACCATAGAAATACCTTTCTATAATTCTGATTTTAATCATTTTAGTTTGTTACATGGCTTGCATCATTTTGAATTTAATGTGTGAAATACTCAAAAATAATATTTGGAAATGCAAAATCGAAATTTAAGCTTTTAAAATTATTAACAGTTTTAATGCAAAATATCTTTCGAGATTTACAAGCTAATGTTAGTTGTAGAAGTGAAAAGGATTACTAAAAGGACTTATCTAAGGGAAGTGAAATGAAGAAAAACAATATTCGTTACTGAATGATTTACTTTAATTTTCAGAGTTTTAATTTATAATGTATTATTTCGCTTATTAATTTGGCCATAGTACATCAAGTCATAGTAAATAGTTTAGTAAATCAAGAAAAGGCCATGGTTTCGATATAATAAGTTTAATTTTATGGCGTTACAAATGCATGTAAAAGTATTTTTCCATGTTTATGATACGTTAGTTTACACTATTTGCTTTTCGATCACTCATATATTCAACTAAATGACTCTGAAAATTGCTAATTTAGAAAACTCTTGCCATTTCAAAGAAAACAAGATTTTTAATTTTTCTTTCAAATTATAAAGGTACACTGTCCATCAGAAACCGGGATTTAAAAACAACAGAACTAAGTTTTGTAAATTTTTAACTTTTAATTAAAAGTATATACGGAATTTTATTCTCACCAAAAAAAGTATTCCATTGGATTATTTATAAACTTTTCTTAATAGTTGTTTGAGTTTTATCTGGTCGCAAATGAAGGGAAGGTCGAAATTTCCTTTGAACTTATTGTATTTTTACAATATTATTTTTACAAAATTTTGTTACAAAAAATTATTTTTACAAAATGCCATTTCGATACTAATAGACCTTCTGGGCTAATTCCCCTTTGGGCTAATAATAATAAATGAACTGCAAAACTAATTAAATCCTCTGTCAGATTATAGAAAAAACGTTGTGCAATGTATTTTAAATAGCGAAACATAAATGATCGCATTTAAAGAAGTATTTTTTTTCCGAGTTGAAAGTTTTAACCGTCAAGGAACTAATTACGTTAGAACAGTTTATATCCGGATTACAGACATGCCTGGAAACGTGCTTGGATCTTTCCTCTACGGAATGACCGCCCAACAGAATCACCCATTAAATCTAAATAGCCCATTAGAGACCATTAAATGGAGAATATTTAGTAGAACAAGTACTTCTGTTATTTAGAAAGCAATTACGAACGAATATTTAAATGAAGATGGGTAAGATGCCTGCTTTGAAGGTATTTCCTTAGAAATGATCTCTACTCAACAGCATCTCTTTCTCCTTGTTTCGGTAACTGAACACAATTTTAACGACAGGTAAATTAGACAGGATATCATTTATGAGTGTTTTAAAGGGTTTAAAAGGCCTAAATTCACATAAACAGTAGCTCTAAACACAAGAAATTATGTAACAACGTAGAAATATTACGTTGCAAGCAAATGAGTTCAGTTTATAGTTACGAATAAAAGGCTCAGGGATTATTAAGAGAAAATCGTTCATGATTTTGTTTGAGTACAAAACAGGAATTTTCTTCCGTGACATGTTAAGAAGTAAAAATTTCGAAAATTGTTTTCCAAGTATGCTAGTGCTATGTTTCAATACTAACAGGCAGGTTGCTACTAAATTACTTCGTGTTTTAAGTTAGACCTGTATCCAGTGGCTGAATGGTTAAGATCGCTGAATACTATTAGTTTGACCTGGGTTAGAGCCCAGAGAATAGACTGGCTACGTGATTGGTTTTATCCATGTATAATGTGAATACCAGCCAATTTCTCTTAGGAAATCTTCCACGAATTCATCCATCCCCTTAGCCAGATAGTTCTCGTGTGCATTGCCGTATTCAATTAACCTAACATACTTTGGAACCGAAACTGAATGCTTTAAATTATTGCCGTACTCACCTCTTACAACACTCAAGTTACCTCGGGTACACCAAACTAAATTATTTTCGCACATCTGAGTAAATACGTTTAAGAATGTTTTTTTAGATCTGGACGCACTAGAATTCATTTCCTACAGTTTTGAGTTAAAATAAAGAAAAGTGGTTGAGATAAAGAATTAAAAAATTGACTGTAAAAATACCAGTTTCTGCCTTTTTAAGGGGTTATGTTATTTTTTATTTTTAATTATTCCTTTAAATTCTATTTTGGGATAATTAAAATTTCATACTATATATAATACAGAATCATCAGAAAAGGCTGACAAAATTATAAAAATGCATAACGCTAAAGTTCAACGTATGAACGATAGATGTATTGAAGAATGGCGAAATAACATATGCCTTACAGATAGAGGGTAAAAAGTGAATGCGAAATCATTAAGTCTTGGGTATAGTAACGAAAAGTACCCGCTTTATTCTGTTTTGCCGAAAGATCTCGTTCGTATTCAATATTACAGTATAGTTTCAGAAAGTGTTGCTTTATTTCGATAGATTTATTTTGTGGGAATAAACCAAGAACATATATTTAACAGAAAGATTCTGATCTTTATCTGCATTACAGGAGTGCAGCAGTCAAGCAACAGTAAATCCAGAACTGAGCAAGTTTCGAATGAAACTGCTTCGAGGTCAGTCAGGTGATAAAAGAATCAAATATCGTAACTACTAAAGTAAGACAAAATCTTCAGATTTTTCAGAGTATTTTAACATTTGAGTCATTTCTATGACTAAGAAATTTCGAGCAATATTACTTCATCTTTGGTTAGTTTTTGTCATTAACTCAGTAAAAGTTCTAACAAAATTTTTATGCTTGTAACGCTGAATTTGTTACAATCAAAAACAAGAAATAATAATAAGGCATGTGGATCATTAGAATTAGATTTTATTCCTGATTATAAAATTCCCTAGAAACTACAGTCTATTCTTATTAATTTCATTTTAAATAATAAATAATAAATTAGCCTACAGAAAAATAAACTGCTGGTTTCCTTAATGAACTGGGCCCACCAGCGGCCGAGCGGTAACGTCGCTGAACACTGGTAGTTCGGTCCGAGGTTCAAATCCCGCGAACGGCCTGGCTACATGGATGCTTTCGTGGTTTTCACCATGTGCAACGTGTATACGAGCCAGATTTCCTTAAGAAGTCCTCCACGAAGGCATCCCTCCCTCAAGGCAGATAGCCCTCGAGTGCTTTGCCGTAATCTAATAAACCAAACCTTAATGAACTAAATTGTCTCAAGAACATGTTAACGCTGAAAAACTTACAAATATATTCCTTCTGTCACAACTAAGCTACTCTAGTTCAGAATAAAATTCACATTTTGAAAAATTTTGAAACTCCTAAGAGTCTTTTTCGTTTAGTATTTAATTTACATTATTTAAGTGAAAATTCTTTTTGGTTGTTGCATTTGATCCGAACTTCGCTTACTAGTTTCAACACTTGTAGCAAATGTGAAAAACGCCTTATAAAAATTAAAAAAAAAAAAAAAAAAAAATTAGATAATATTTTATTTATTACATTTTAACCTTGGAACCCTATTTTATATATATAAATGTATTTGAGGCAACTGCTTTACTCATTCAACTTTTGGCATGGTTTTGCATTATTTGCATATGTCAATCAACACAATAGTAAGTTTTATTCAATAAATTGCATGTAAACTTTCTGACTGTACAGCTAAACGATTTGGACAAAAGCACAACTGCTTCCATTGCGTGCTTAGCATTTGGAAAAGTGTAGCAGGAATTTGCTTCAATATTTGAAAAATACAATAAAATAAAAGGTTTTTCAGTATCTGTGTATCAACATAAAGTGCCGATATTAATGTTCAACTCATGAATGTTCAACTCATGTTTATTCACAAACAGCAATGAAAACCTAAAATCTTATCTAGAGTTTATAACAAAAATTAGTTTTCAAATAGTTTAGTTTAGAAAATTCGAGAAATTATTGCATTGTATCCGTAGATTTATAAATTGTCAGGTTACTTTTATTTTGAATAACCTGCTATTTTTGATTTAGATCCTTACTGTCACTTCTCTTTCGGTTTTCCAACCAGAATGCAAACCAGTGTCACTTTTGCAGCGATGTAACTTAAAGTAACAGTCAAATTCAAGATTTAAAGCTAAGTAATCAAACACTACATAATTTATTCAACCGAAGTTGGCTCAAAATATCTCACCGGCGTAACAGTTTAAATATCAACAACTATAATGCAAATTCTAGTAATACAATCTTATCTGAACTAGTGAAATCTATTAACGTGGCAGGCAGAAACACTGTATCTTACAATTCCGAAAAGACTCAGCTGAAATACTCTCGAACCTAGTTTACATTCTAATATGGAAACGGAAAGAGAAGTGAATAATTCTAATATGGAAACGGAAAGAGAAGTGAATAATTCTAATATGGAAACGGAAAGATCTGAATCATAAAATAAGTGGTTATTCAAAATAACAGTAACTTTTAAATGTCCAAAGAAGAAGTTTTGAGAAGCAA